ACTTTTCTTTCCTCATATCAAATAATGTTCATCTTTCTGGCTACCCTGTTCTTTGTGTGAGTTGCTGGATCAGAGGTAGTGTCAAGTTCCCAGCACCGCCAGTTTCTGTTGTTCCCTCTGCCATGCGAACAGCACAGTCCTTCATGGCTGGGCGCAGAATGAGAAGAAACAGAACAGAGATGCATGAGTCAGCCCTGTGAGAGCCAAGCATCTTCGGGGGGGGGGGGGCTCCTGTATTAATCACCTGTAGAATGTCCTTTCCATTATTTTCATCTAACACTTTGTACAATGTAAGATGTCCACACCCAGAGGCATTCCTGATCACCACTGTAAACTTATGAACCTATGTTCTGTGACCTTGACCTAAATAGTCTTCAAAGTTAAGTCTCTCCTGAAGTTATGACCTTAAATGAAGCATGCTCAGAAATGTGCTTCTTAACTGAGCATGCTCAGGAACACATCCACCCTAAAGTGTGTGTGTATATATGTATATATATCACACACACACACACACACACACACACACACACACACACACACACACACCCAGATAAAATCCCTTTGAAAATAACACTGTATTTTCCTTAGCTGGTCAGGTTCTGAATCCCTTTGCTCTTTTGCATTTCTGCTAGGCTTGCTCAGGTTTGTACTTACTGAGATGGGACCCTGCAGCCTTTGGTTATGCAGCCAGACATGTCAAGTCAGAAATCAGAGCTTGCTTTTCAAAGCTGAAGAGTCTTGAGTCATCTGTTACTGCAGTAAATCTGGCCAAGGTACATGAAGTGACATTGTCACATTGAAGACCTTGATGGGTTTGCTTAGGCATTTGAAGTGACAGTGAAATCCAGTTTAGGAACATGGATTTTAAAGAGTAAAACTGATGTGTATAAAACAATGGGAAATAAAATACAGAAATCAGAAGTCTAAGCAAGGAAGCAGAAATATTAAAAAAAAAAGTGTGCATTGACCTGTCGACTAGGTGCACCACACTCAGAATTTTACATTGCTTCTATTTAAAATAAGCATACCACACACATGCCATACATGAGTGTATTTTTGCTGGCAATCAAAGAAAAGCAGGACTGTCCTTCCACAAACATGTAATCAGCATTCAAAACAACCTTTTCCAGCTCCCACAGCTTTGGAATATAGCAATTGACATATCTGAAAACCATAATGAGATGTTAATTCTAATTACACACTCAATAATAATTCACATCAATCAAGAAATATTGGCCCCAATAATCCAACTGTGTTTTAACATCAGGAAAGATATGAGGATTTCCTAAGGATACTAGAAAAAATTTACTTAATAGCTTCCTAATGAGTATTCAATGACATCTGAAGATAAATGACTTAAGAAAAAAATTATCTTTTAAAAGAATAAAGGAGCTAGTGGGATGTCTCAGGGAGTAAAGGTCCCTGTAGCCAAGCCTGGGACCTCAGTTCAACCTCCAGGAGCTACATGGTAGATGTGAAGAAATGACTCTGTCCTCCAGGCACATGCTATTTAGGGTGCCCTATCCCCACTCATGGGAAGTAAGTGAATAGAAATGTAATTACATTAAGTTTAAAAGAAAGAAATTGGTTTTTTTTTGTCAGTAGTAGGTTTATTTAGCATATATGAAGCTCTAGATTTAATTCCCTAACAACACACACTCACAACATTAAATACATATACATAGTATGCATATATAATAAAATATTTCGCATATGTCAACTGTATTTAAAAGTATTTTAAAGTGTCACCATAATACTTTTTGGTGAGAGAATTTCCAGTAACTTTATCCCCCAAATTTAAGCCAGCATTTGGGCAGAAATTAGGCATAAAACCAAAACAAGAATTGTAAGTGTTAGAAGGTGATGTCATTAATATTTATAGATAGAATGATTGAATACCTGGAGACTTGAAGGACTGTGAATAACATTAGTAAAATGGGCCTCCATAAATCACAGAGACAGGGATAGCCACATCACACCGTTTTCGGAAAAACCTAAGGGTTTAAAGGTGTCAGCACCTTCCTAAACAAATTCATAGGTTTCTTGCCTGTTTGTTTTTTTATTTGTTACTAGTTTTCTTGTGTATTTCTTGGAATTTTACAACATGGTTCTGAAGTTCATTTTTAACAGTAAAAAAGACTATAGTAGCCAAGAAAAGCTTTTTTTTTTTTTTTTAAAGTGAAGTAATGTATATAATTTAAGGTATGTGCCAGAATCAAAACATAAAAATGCATGTTGGTAAGATTAAAACAATACGGGCCTTGAATCCAGTAGATTTTGATTTCAAGCCAGGCTGTGGTGGCGCATGCCTTTAATTCCAGCACCCAGGAGGCAGAGGCAGAAGGATCTCTGTGAGTTTGAGGCCAGCCTGGATTACAGAGTAAGTTCCAGGACAGCAAAGCTACACAAAGAAGCCATGTCTCAAAACAAACAAACAAACAACAACAAACAAGCAAAACCAAACCAAAAAATCAAAACCAAAAAACAAACAAAAATTGGTTTCAACTCCAAGCCCTGACACCTTAGACTGTCAGTGTTAGTGTCTGTAAATAAAATCTGTAATATATACCCCAGTCATTCCAGTCTCCTCCTCACTGCTCTCTGTCTATCCTTGACCTGGAGCCATCATGGTTGGGGTACCTGTCTCTGCCTCATGTTGTTGGATCTGACCCGGTGAACTGGTGTGGTGAGCACCACTAGGCAGAAGTCATGGTTACAAGCCCGGGGCCCTCAGAAGCTTGAACAGTTTGGCACCTCCTTCCGTCTCTCTGCTGTCAGGAGAAAGGACAGTCACCCTTCAGCCTGGGCCTGGGGGGGATACATGGAGCCCAGCTGCCTCAGCTGCCATGTAGATCTAAGAGAACAGACCATTGCTGTTTGGACCTATTGAGACTCAGTCAATAAAAGGTACCAGCTGTTCCCTTTTTTAGAAGGCGATATGGAAGTTCCCAGGAGTTAACTCAAATACATCTGTTCTGACCTCATTGGACAGAATTTAGACGTGAACTTCTCAACTGAACCATGGAGAAAGAGAGTTCGGTGTGGAAGTGAGGAGAATGGAAGGTGGATGGGATAGTTTAAAAAGTCCTTGTCAGTACTGATGTTTAAACAAAATGGCATTGGTGTGTGTGTGTGTGTGTGTGTGTGTGTGTGTGTGTGTGTGCGCGCGCGCGCAGGAGGGAGGGGTGGTGGGGAGAAGCTGGCCACAGCAAGTGTGTGTGGAGGACCAGGACGACCTTTTAATTTGTTCTCTTTACATCTTTGAAGTCACCAGGATCGTGTGTCAAGTCCTTTACTTATGGAACCATCCCATGGCCCTGTACTGACATTTTAATGACTTAGTTTTTATTAATTTTGCTATTGTCCTGCTAATTCTGAACTGCCGCAGGTAGAATTTGAATAGACGAAACAGGTGTACAGCTGTGTACTACTTTCTCTTGTTCACAGAATATGGGTTGATGCTTATTTTGACCAACATTCACTTCGCACACATGGTTCCAGCCTCTAAGAAAACCTTGCACAGTTCTTCATTTAAGAATATTCTAATAAAAATAAGCAAACTAGGAGGTTGGAGAGATGGCTCAGAGGTTAAGAGTACTGGCTGCTCTTCCAGAGGTCCTGAGTTCAATTCCCAGCAACCACATATTGGTACACAGCCATCTGTAATGAGATCTGGAGTCCTCTCCTGGTGTCCTCTGCAGGCAGACAGAACATTGTGTAAATAATAAATTAAACAAATAAATGCATCTTTAAAAACAAAAAAAGCAAATTCACTTGTATAGTTGTGAGAAAGTGTGTGTGTGTATGTGTGTGTATGCATTTCAAGGTTAAATAGTATACAAACAAATGAATGAGTAAGGGATCAAATTAAAATGGGTTTAGGGCTGTTGGGATCAGGAAGAAGGAAGAAACAAAAGGAAGGAAGGGAAGGAAGGAACGGAAGAAAGGAGGGAAGGGAAGGAAGTAAAGAAAAGGAAGGAAGGGAATGGAGGAAAGGGAAGGAAAGAGGGAAGAAACCTTTAGTATCTTTTCTCCAGCACCCGTATTAGTGGTCGGTTTCCAAGGTTACCCAAAAGACAGCAGAGGGATCTGGTGCTCTAAAAATGACATACTGAGCGATCACTGCAGTAAACATTTTCTGTCATTAGATTAATTATTGGGCTTGTTCACAATCAAAATCAACCAGAATTTCCAGAGGTATCCCAACTACTTGTAGTTACAAATGTCAAATTAAGGCTTGGGGGCTAGGGGAACATAACTAATACTAATAACTAGTAATTAGAAGCAGACTAGCGAGGGTAGTGTGGGCAGTTACTTAGACTTCAAACAGATTTTCAAGATGATTGGCATGTATCCTCGAGGAATCTAGAGACATGAGTCAAATCTCAAGGTGGGCCAGCGAGCGCCCCTCCTCCAGCAGAGCAGGTCTTGAGCGGGTAAGGTCTGTCCTCCAGCTGATGTAGGTAGCAAAGCCTCTAACTCGGCTCTCCAGAGTCCGCTCAGCGCCTGACCCCGCCCACTCCGTCTGCGGCGCTAGGTCTGCTTACTCTCTCCCGTCAGCACTCGGCCCCGCCCAACCTCTCCCAGCCACGTTTGGCCCCACCCGCCCCTCCCGGCCGCGATCGGCTCCGCCCACGCTCTCCCGGCACCGCCCACCGCTCCGGGCCGAGCTCAGTTTTACCCACTGTCTCCCGGCCTCACCCGGCTCCGCCTACACTCTCCCGGCTCCTCCCACCCTCTTCCGGCTCCGCCCACCCCTGCGGGCCGCGTTCGGCCCCGCTCACCCTCTCAGACCCGCGCCCGGCTCTACCCACTCTCTCCCAGCCGCATTCGGCTCCACCCAGTCTCTCCTGGCCGCGCTCCGCCCACCCTCTCCCGGCTCCGCCCACCGCTCTCGGCAGCGCTCTGCTCTTCCCAGGGTCTCCCAGTCGCATTCGGCTCCGCCCACCGTCTCCAGGCCCCGCCCATCACCCCAGGCCCCGCCCACCCTCCGCAGGCTCCGCTCTTTCCACGCTCCCAGCGCAGGCCGCGGCCGAGGGGCGGGGCGGGGCGGCCTGGAGGAACCGCGTTCCCGAGCGGGAGGGAGATCCGCCGAGGAGTTACGGGAAAGTTGTTCCGAGTTCCCGGGAGTTTCCCGGTGTGCTCGCCCGCGTTCGGCCGGCTGCCCGCAGGCTCCTTTCCTCCCTAGCGCCCTCACGGTCCACTCGGCCCCTCTTTTCTGCCTGCTTGCCACCGGCCGCCATGGAGCAGCCGCCGGCGCCCAAGAGGTAACGACGGCGGGAGCGGGATGAGGACGGAAGCCGTGGGGCGGGGGCGGCTAGGCCAGGCCTGCTGCGACCCAGGCGCCCACGGCCCGGCCGCGTCCTTCCGCGAGGCCGGGGGGCCCTGAGGGAACGTCGGGTCTCCACTGCCGACGGCTCGCCCGGGCCTGGCGCCGGGCTCTCCGCCAATCGTGGGGCTAGGAGGGTTAGAGGACGAGGACATCAGTGAACGCTTCTTTCTCCTTTTTTTTTTTTTTCTCTCTCAAGTGTTCTTCATAATATAATATCCCTTCACCTTGAGACGAAAGACTGGTTATTTCCAGTTTAAGTAAATTAAGTATATTAATAGTCGTGCAGAATGCAAAACATGGATATGCTGCAATGACAGGTGTTTCTCTGCGCCTCAAGTTCTGGAGAATTTATGGATACGAGACCCGAGGAATGTTAAGTCAGAACTCCTCCCTCGTATAGTTTTGCATGTAAAAATAGTGGCACTTTGGTGTGTTACGTATTGTTTATGTTTAATGTTGGACCTTTTAGAGGCATATGTGTACAGCATGTTTGAAGTGGTAATTTCAGTGATCTTAGGAAGCTAAGTAAATGCTCATCGATAAAAGTTCATAGTATGCACTCCCTCTGCTCCAAGAGTGAATCAATTAATTGTTTGATGCTGGATAGAAAACATTTAACCTCACTCTTTCATTTTTAATTTACACGGCTCTCTCCGTGAGAGTGCTGTGGTGAAGATTAAAGGCTTCATGTGCTTTGATAGACATCTTTAGATGGAAAGTATCAGACTCATGAGCGTAGAATAATTAAAAAGGTAGGGACTTTGAGAGCAAGTGGTTGTGAATTGTATGATTAGATATGTGAGCCTTGGGGCCTGGAAACCCATCTGTTCATGTGTAAAACAGGGAGGTTGTGGACAGGTTCCAGAAGGCTCTGGAAGCAAGTCACTTGATAGATTTTCTAGCATGTTATTGGTGTCTGTCTTCTAGTGTGCAATGGATACCCCCTGCCCCTCAGTAACATGGAAGAAAACCTGAAACTTTTTTTTTTCTTTTTTTTTGTTTTTTTCTTTCTGCTTTAGAAGGGTAGCAAAGAGGATCTCTGAGCCCATGGCTTAGGTTGATTTGAATGACTGAATCCCAGTCATTATTGATTAGCTCTACTCTAAATTATCACTTTCATTAGTGTTGTAAGAAAATGCATGTGCCTGACCAGACATCAGTGAACCTGGACAATTGGAACTTGTGGGTGATAATTCCACAGTGATTTATGCTTTGCAAAGCAGTGGTTGCAAATATGACAAGAGTGCATGCATGCATGCTTGCAATCGCATATTTGCACACACTCTTGTGCATGTAAGCCCATGTCTTGTGTGGAAGCTAGGACGACTAGCAGGAGTTGTTTCTCTTTCACCATGTGAATCCTGGGGTTTAAACTCAGGTGATCTGGCTTGGTGCAAGTGCCTTTACCTGCTGGGTGTTTTTGTGTCCCACCAGAATGGCATTTCTAAAAAGCAAAAGATATGGGAAACATTTTTTTTATATCTTATTATCGCATTGTTTTTCATAGCATTTCCAACTCATAATATTCATCCTCACACCAACTCTGTGGGACAGGTTGGATTACAGAAAGCAGTCTTATTTTATAGATGAAGATACAACAGATTTGCCACAAAGAAGCTTAGGAGTTACTGACTGAATTTCTGTGTTACTATTTTGGTCTTTGCTGTCTAGTAATAAAGTATAGATGCCATTGTTGAAATTGTATTGTTTGCCAGGAAATTTATTCATTGTGACTTAACATTGGATTTTTTTTTCTCCTGAGGCTCACTAGGAGGTTTTTCTTATGTGTGCAAGTATCTGTGTGCTTGTACAATGAAAGGAGATATAGAAGTCTTAAGCACCCTCATCTTCATGGTCTGCCATTGACTGAAGCATTATTATGTGATGTGATTGGTGCATACTGTCCTTTGGTTAGTCATCTTGAGAAGTAATCCTGGCCTTACCACCTACTCTGCTAGTTCTAAACTTAAGTATCTTCACCTGTAAAATATGTCATGGGAATGAAATGCGCTCATGTGTAGAGCACTTAGTAATGTGCTTCATAGTATGAAGTATGTTTAGTACAATTCTATTGTTAGTTGCGTATTCTACTAATAAATGAAGCACATAGAAGTTAAGTAACTTGGTTAAGCAAGAGTGCCAGAATCTGATGGGCTCCAAAAGCAGTGTGTGAATGGAAGTTTCTGTCCCTGTTCCTTGGCTGTTCAGTCCCAAGTAAACACACAGAGGCTTATATTAATTATAAACTGTTTGGGCTATTGTTCAGGTTTATTACTAACTAGCTCTTACAACTTAAATTAACCCATAGTTCTTACCTATGTTTAGCCATGTGGCTTGGTACCTTTTCTCAGTAAGGCAATCTCATCTTGCATCCTCTGTGTCTGGCTGGCAACTGTGTCTCAGCCTTTCCTCTTCCCAGAATTCTCCTAGTCTGGTAGCTCCTCTATACTACCTGCCTGGCTACTGTCAGATCAGCATTTTTTAAATCAATACGAGTGACATATGTTTACAGTGAACACAAGCATTATCCCACATCAATGGTGTGTGCTCCTATTACACAGAGTGTTGCCTTTTATATATATACATATATATATACACATATTTATTTATAACATATATATAATATATATATATATATTTATAATATATATACTTATAATATAATGTGGTGCTCATCTTCTCTGCAATGTCTGGACCCTCAGTTCACTTCCTCTTAATCTCAGCAAAAGTGCCACCCATCCTTTCTGCTCGGAGTAACACTACATTAACATTCAGATGTGTTTTCGCTGTACTTCTCAAAAAATGTTTAACCATGGAGACATTTTTACAGGTGAAGGCTGTGTTTGGGATGGTGGTGGGGCAGAACCAGCTTTCCATAGAAGAGTTTGCTTTATTTTCTCCTACATGTAGCTTCCAGTTTACTTTGCTACAATCCCAGTTTGATATAGTATTGGGCAGGGGGCTGGGTTCTGTTCTGTAGTCTAAGTCTGTGGCCTCCTCCCCAGCCTATGTGACAAAGTGAGCCTGGCCTCAGAAAGCTTTCCTGGTGATCTCTGTCTGGCTGCAGGCCATGGGTGCTCCCAGTTTTGTTTTTGTTCATGCTGCTGCTTTAGACAAGTTTGTGTTAGCTGGCTATGATGGTGCATGCCTGCAATCCTAGCACACAGGCGGAGAAGGGAAGATCACTAGAGATTTGAGGCCAGCCTGGGCTACATAGTGAGTACCTGGCCAGCCTGGACTATAGAGTAAAGCACTGTCTAAAAAAAATAAAATAGAGAGAAGGAAAGTTTGTTGTTATTATTGTTGTCATTTTCCTGTAGTCTGTTTTATTCTTCCGTCAAGGCCTGTTTCATAAAGTGTCTTCCCTGGGTGCTTTCTTTCTACCCTGAGATATTTCTCAGGCTTCCTAATGTGATACTCATTTGATTATGTGCTGTGCCCTTTTGTTCTTTCTTTTTTAATTACAAAATTTTAGGCATCCAAAACTTAATGAAAACTAATTTAACTGATGTATGTATCATCACCCAGCTTAAGAAATAAAATATTCTGAGTTCGATTGATGCCCTCTGTGTGTATGCCTTCCCAGTTGCATCTCCTTCTCACACCCAAAGGATGTCATCCATACTGAAATGGGTGTTTGACCTTTACATAGTACCTTTATAAAACATGTGAGCATATTATGTAGCTTTGTCACCGACTTTAGATTTTCCTTCTTTTGCTATCATTCTTATCTGGGGGCTGGAGAGTCTGTAGTGTTCAGCCCTGTTTTAGAGTCAGAGCTGTGGATTCCTAGGCGGTCTCGTATGGCACCTCTCATCCTCCAGTTCATGCATTCAGTGTTCTTAACAAGGCTAGTATAGAACATAGTTAATACATGTAGGTGCCTGTCATATATTCCAGGTACCACAATGGTTTCTAGATGCCCACATTTTTGAGTTTTGTCATACTGCACGTCAGAAACACGAGAATGCTGGTTGTTGGAAGTATATGTAGTTCGGGTTTAGTAGAAAAAAGACAATGGAAAGGTTGAGTGAGCTAGCTGTTGAAGGATACTTTCAAGATGGTTAACTCCTTTTTGATTTAAGCTGCAGTTAGTTAAGCTGAAGACATTAAAGAAATGGTATGAATAGGTAGTTTGTGGGAAGTTGAAGGTTTAAGTAAAAGAATTGGGGGTTCAGAGTATATTTACATAATTGAAAAATGAAGATAATCTTTAGTCAGATATTTTTAATAATGGCTGAAGTTGGAAATTGTTATGAGGAATCAAAAGCAAACATAGAGGACTAAGTAGATAACATTCATGTTTTCCTTAGCATGAAAACATGAACTAGCTTGTGACATCCCTATGCATGATCCTAGGCTGGGAGTTGGAAATGCAAACTCATGTCAGAGGAGTCTGAGCATGTGGGAGTTGGAGTGGGTGGGATAAGGCAGCAGAGCAGAAGATGCTATTACAATTGTCAAGACTGTGTAGGTGTTGTACTGAGAGAGTGGACTTGTCCGTATTTATAATACATAGGTCCTCAGAATGATGGCAGCTAAATTCTTGCAGATTCACGGAGGGAAGAACTAGAGTTGTCTTTGATGAACTCTGAGAACTCTTAAAAAAGTAAAGTAGACAGCTGATCTAGGAAGAAGGAGTTAGGCAAGTTTCCAACTTCATTTAATTCAGTCTGTTCAATTCTGATTTTTGTGGCACTGGGGAATCAGACCCCAGAGTCTCATACATGCTGGCATGCACCTCTGTGGGTCTGTACTCACAGACCAGAAATTTGCGATTCTAGAACCAGACAAGTGGAGATGAGTGTGACAGTGGAGTATGGAACACTTCAGGGGAGCAGACTTCAGTTGCACATTGAGACAAGAGGTAAACTGCGACTCTAGGTGACTTTGAGTAATAAATAGTTTATCTGTTGTTCTTTAGGAATGAGGCAT